ACAGTGGTTCCTTTAAAACAAATCTTCCCAAGGCCCCCTTAATTCCCCACCAGGGTCAACAGAGAAAGCAAAAACATGAAAACATGGTGGAAAGGAAGGGAAAGTTGGGAGCCTCTGCAGCTGAAATTGAGCCTATGTAGGAGGGTGGAATGAGGCCTCATTGCCTAAAGCAATCAACTTACCTCAGTCTTGAGAAAAATGCTACCTCAGTCTTGAGAAAAACGTCCTGCTTGGACATTGTGGGCTATTAGCTAGGCAACCTACAATCTTGCAACTTTGTAAAAGTATAAATACAGGAAAGGTTTTTACTACTGTTTACGGAATCCTCTTGTCAACCAAGCAGACTGGGCTACCTAATCCAACCCAGCTCTTGTCTTCTTGTCTATCTTTTCCTCATTTCTCCCCAGGTAGGGTATAATGGATCACACTGAGAGACCAACAGATCCCTATACTTCATAGCCCACAATGTCCAGGCAGGATGTTTTCCTCAAGACTGAGGTAGGTTGACTGCTTTAGGCAATAAGACCTCATCCTAACCTCCCACATATAATCAATTTCAGCTTCATGGCTCAGGAAAGATCACATAAGCATTACTCGAAGGAGTTTTAGACCACTCTGAAGTAGCTGCAAAGATATGAAAGGTTGATATAATGGAGGATCAGAGAGAAGAATGAGCTGGATTTAAAGTCATCAGGTAGGCCAATCAGGTCAATGCTCTTCCAGGGTGATCGCTTCTGAAAAGAAGCGATGAGCAATGGCTGGACCACCAGACTGGAGAGATGGATAAGCAGATGGTATTTAGCTGGGGAGAAGCCGCAGAATTGCTGGGTGAAATAAAAAGCAAGCATTAAGAGGTTTTGATGAAAGAACAACAAAGGAAGAGGCGGATGCTAACAGTGAAGGTGAGGAGGACCAGGCTCTGTTGTCTCATGGCTGGAGAGTGAATGGTGCATTGTTCTAAAGGTTTATAGTGCAAGCTTACTGACAGTCTGCTGGGGTAAAAAGGGATGTCTCTCAGCGTGTGAGCCTTCCATCTCCAGAGATCTGTGCCCCTATAAGGACTGCTTAAATAAGGGAGCCAGTGAGCAGCGGCACCTCAGGAAACGGGTATAAAATGTTTTTGAAAGTTTTGAACTATGATAAAACAAAATGCCAACTTTCCCACGCATTCATAGGTTTAACTGTTTCAGTCTAGTTATAAAATCTGGAGGTTATAATAACTGTACATAATTAAATATGTATTTACTTAAAAAATAAAAAGAAACTAATGGTGTCTGGCCTTCCTCTTGTTTTGTTTTTTTTTTTTTTTTTTTGCGGAACTGGGGATTGAATTCAGGCCCCTGCGCTTGCCAGGCAAGCACTTATTCTACTGAGCCATCTCCCCGGCCCCTGGCCTTCTGCACTGATCTGGCTGATACATTTTTTTTTCCACTGTCAGTCTCCAGCAAGAGCCCATGATGGCTTGCATTTATGTAGAATAATTCCAAATACATCTATAGTATCACCTTAGGAATATTTAAGGGATGAGGGGTGTAGCACCAATAAATAGGCAAATACAAGATCAAATTCACTTTTGTATTGTCATAATCTGTTGAGACATAGGTCTAATATAACCGATGTAGTACCTATGTTTTCTTATTTTTTTTGTGTGTGTCATTTTTATTTTTGTAGTACTGAAGATTGAATCCAGAACCTGTAGACCGAGCTATGACCTCAGTGCTTTTTATTTTTTATTTATTTTTTTATTTTTGGCAGAACTGGGGATTGAACTCAGGCCCTTGTGCTTGCCAGGGAAGCACTTATTCCACTGAGCCATCTTCCCGGCCCCTCACTCAGTGCTTTTTAAACATCTTTTGTTTTGTTTGTTTTTGCGGAACTGGGTATTGAACCCAGGCCCTTGCGCTTGCCAGGCAAGCACTCATTCTACTGAGCTATCTCCCCGGCCTCCCATCTTTTGTTTTGAGGCAGAGCTTTTTAAAGTCACTTTGCCTAGGCTAGGTTTAAATTTATTTATTTATTTTATTTTATTTTTTAAAAAATAATTTTATTATTTAGTGTGTGTGTGTGTGTGTGGCCAGCTCAGCCCATCAGGGGGCGGGGCTGGCTGGCATGTGGTGCTGGGGAATTGAACCGCGGTCTCTGTGCTTTGTGCTTTGCTAAGCTTGTTCTAAGTAGGTGCTCTAGACCACTGAGCCATCTTACCAGCCCCGGCTAGGTTTAAATTTAACATTCTCCTGCCTCAGTTTCTCAGAGTGCTGGGGTTACAGACATGTGTTATCTCATCAGTTTCCCAGGCACCTTTTCAAAGAACTCGATAGGATAATCTCATATGTTATGTTATTATCATCTGAAACTGGACAAAGCAACTTCACTCAAGGTATAAATCATGTGAAAGACTGGGAATAATGCTTAACCTTGCTAAATATTTAGGGCAATGCAGACTATGAAGTTTGAGGAATTACTTGGGTTGGAGCCATCTGTGACATAGCACATACTTCTAAGAATAAATTGTTATCCCCTGTCTCTCTTTTTTATTTTTGGCAAAACTGGGGATTGAACTCAGGCTCTTGTGCTTGTCAGGTAAACACTTATTCTACTGAGCGATCTCCCCGGCCCCTCCCCTGTCTCTTGAGACAAAACCAGAAGCTCAATACCTCAGTCAGTGGTGGCGAACGTATGGCGCATGTATTATCTTTCTTTTAAAACAAAAGATGATGGGGCTGGGGAGATGGCTCAGTGGAATAAGTGCTTCCCTGACAAGCACAAGGGCCTGAGTTCATCCCCAGTTCCGCCAAAAAATAAAAATAAAAACATAAAAAATAAGTTAATGCATGAGCTGTTTTTTCTAAACTAAGTCCTCAGCATTCACGTTTAATTGCAGTTGTTGACACTTTGTGTTAAATACATGGGTTTTGGGTTCTAGTTTAGGCAGCTGGTCTCTAAAAAGTTTGCTATCACCAACCTACTAGGCCTACTTGACCTAAATGAATCATATACTTAACTGGATGAAACTTTTGATCCTAACCCAAAAACTCACCATGAAAAAGACTATATTTGATTAGCAGCTTGAACTGAACAAGCCTTTTTAGTACTACAGGAGGCTCTGACCACACATTATTCTATGTCTCAAGTGGTATTAGAAGTGTGCATGCTGCCAGGCATGGTGCGCAAGCTTGTAATCCCAGCACTTGGGAGCTGAAGCAGAAGTTTGCTGAGTTCCAGGCCAGCCTGGGCTACACTGTGGAGACTCTGTATCAGAAACACACACACACACACACGTTTGCACTGCCCACACTCAGGCCAAATGCAGCATCCAACCGAAGCTCTAACTGCTCCTGCTTTTTTCTTTTGTGAAACGGGATTGAACTCAGGCCCTTGCAC